CTACTATGAGTAGTGGGAGGCAGGCATGGGTGCTACACCCTCAATGATTTATGTTGCAATTTGTCACCTGTATTAGGCAGAACAGTTAAAAGTACTATCACAAGTTCAGTTTCAGCAATGGCTTAAGAAAAATGCTGGCCTTCATATAATCAAAATCAATATCAGCAAAAATTAAAGCTTGTATCCTGTGCATCCTGTCTGTTAGACACACGGGATATACAGGATGCAAACCGTGACTCAGGACACAATGGTCCTTGGCGCCAAAGTTGTGATACAACTGAGTACTCTTGGAATTCTCTAAATGCAACTGAGTGTACTGTAAAGTCTCTCTGGTCGCAACCAGATTCTGCAGCCATTCTCTGGATAGAAGCAAGTACTTCTAAATTTTCAGATTGCAATACCAGGACTAAAGCTTGTGACCTAAGTCACACATCATATATATTGTGAAAGTGTCATAATAAAGATTACTTGTATTGATATTGGTTCTATAATACATAGTACCGAGAGAAAAGCTCAAGCCTCTTAGTATAAGCAAGTACCCTATTCACCTTACATCCCAAATGATAACACAATATGTATTGGTATTGGCGCTAGATTAATGTTCAATCTACAGTTGGAAAGCCAGTATCAAGTACAACCAGGACGCCCGAGGAATCAAGCGTCAAAGGTAACACTTTTCCTGAGTAAACATGACTGTCATAACAGGATGTAGCTCCCCCAGTATTGGTGCCAGGTAGAGGTCCTGGGTACTATTGGAAACCTGGCATCGTGTACTAGTAGAATCAGACTACTGAGTCTCAGACAGTACGCACAAAGGATGCCTAAGAAATTGGGCATCAAGGTCAGCAATCTGCCAGAACTCCACTAAGGTAAGGATCACTTTCATAACAGGCCATAGCTCCACCAATATTGGCGCCGCGTAGATGTCCTAGGTCTCATTGGAACGCTGGTATCATGTAGAATTAGGCCGCTGAGCCTCAGATGCTACGCATAAAGGATGCCTGAGGGATCTGGCATCAAGCTCAGCAATTCGCCAGACCTCTGCCAGGGTAAACACTACTTTCATAACGGGCTGTAGCTCTACCAATATTGGTACTGTGTAGATGTTCAAGGTACCGTTGGAAAGCTGCCGTCGCATAGAACTAGGCCCTCACATCTCAGATGCTTTGCCCAAAGGATGCCTGAGGGATCTAGTGTCAAAGTCAGAACTCAGCCGTGGTAAAGATCACTTTTATAACAGGCTGTATCTCTACCAATATTGGTGCTGGGTATATGTCCAAGGTCCTGTTGGATAGCTGGCATTGAGTGGAATCAGGCCGTCAAGTATCAGAAGCTACACACAAAGAGTCCCCGAGAAATCTGGCGTTAAACTTACTACTCCACCAAAACTCTACTCAAACTCCGCCAGGGTAAATACCACTTTCAGAACAGGTTGTAGCTCCCACAATATTGGTGCCGCGCAGACGTTTAAGATACTGTTGAAAAGCCGCCGTTGTGTAGAATTAGGCCCCCACGTCTCATATGCTTTGCCCAAAGGATTCCTAAGGAATTTGGTGTCCAAGTCAGAACTCTGCCTGGATAAGGACCACTTTCATAACAGGCTGTAGCTCCACCAATATTGGTGCCAGATAGATGTCTAAGCTACTTTTGGAAAGCTGGTGTTAACTAGAATGGGGACACCGAGCATCGGTAGCTCCACCTAAAGGCTGCCCGTAGAATCATGCATCAAAAAACCTTGCCTACTGGAACTGCTGGCACTGGTAAAGAAAACAGCAAAATCTAGAATGCAGGGGAGATAGTATGCATGACACTGGTAGGGGGATGGGCTGGTTGGGGGAGGGGGGTCTGGTTAGGGGAGGGGCTGGTAGGGGGTGGTAAAGGGGGAGTGACTAGCAGCTATATTCATTACTTGGAATCTCAGGATAGTAACTAGTTGGCATTACTCACTTAGGATGTAATCTAGACATGGCAGTTCTTGGCATAAGCACTAGGATGCAATCTGACTTGGCGCCTAACTACCAGATGCACAGGATGCAACCACACCCAGCACCTGAGTACCAGATACACAGGACACAACTAGACCCAGGACTTGAGTACCAGAGCACAGGACGCACCTGATACTGAATTCTTGCTGCTTGCGTCAGGACACACTGCCCATGCATCTGACGCAGGAATAATTTTTGCTGATGAAGCTGATTTCACCCGCCCGAATAGTAATCCATAGTAAAGAGGATCTGAAACTTTTCCTTTAAAACTATCAAAATACACTTTTAGAGTATGGTATTGATAAGAGTAAGTATATATACAACATGGATTAATCTGAAGCAAGGATTGGATATCCAACAGACGAAATTGTGGTAGTTTCCAGTGAGGTTAAGGAACTATATACCTCAAGTCCAGAAAACTACAAGTCAATTATGATTATTAAGGCAATCTGTACAGATGGAAGCTTACTGCCACCTCTACTTATTATATGTCTTGGAGCAAAGATCATGAAAAATTAGATCCATGAAAACCTAAGTGGCACAGAAGTGATTACAGTATCTCCCACTGGATATGCCAATATGAATATTGCTCTATCCTGATTGGATCACTTTATTAAGCATGTTGGTGTAGGACCAGATAGCTATTAGCATATACTTCTTCTTAATGGTCATATTATGCATCATAAAGAAGACTTTATGATCAAGTACCATGAGAATCATATTCTCTTCTTTAAGTTTCCATCCCATTTGACCCATATTTTACAACTACTGGATGTTGGTGTTTTTCGTTCATAGAAGTATTACCATAATCAAGTTATTCATCATGCCCTCTATTTACTTGAAATTGAATATACTATCTCCTTCTTTTTTCAAAACTTGAACTCCATATAAAAGCAAACTCTTCAGCAGTATACGATTTGCAATTCCTTTAAAGGTTCTGGAATGTTTCCAGTATCTTACAAGATCATATTAAAGAAAATATGATATTATAATATTAAGACAAGAGGGGTATAGGAAGAACTTGTAGGTCTCGATAACACCTTACAAGCATGATTGATACTGGTGTGGAGAAAGATAGTCGAGATTTACACCTACTAGTATTTACAAACTCATATTTTAAATGTCAGAAAGGGTTGGCTAAGTGGGTAGATTGAGCAGAAGAAACCTTTAATCCAACCTCTAAAACTCAGTTTCAGGAGTAGGTAAAGGAGATTGAAATTTGTTTGCCAAAGGCACAACTCCAGGAGGAATCATACTGGAGTATTTGAACTTGAATCCGAGATGAGGAACGATGTAAAGTGAGATCCCATCAAGTAATTCAGAATGGTGGAGTCATTTCAGTAGAGGCAGTATATATGAGGAAAAAAGAAAAGACAGAAAAGGAAAAGGCTGTCATGATAAAAAGATCTCAAAAACATATTCAAGTAGTAGTGAATAAGGCAAAGGTAGTACTTACTTGACAAGGAATTAAGGCGTGCAAGGCTGAAAAAGAAAGAAAGAAGCAAATTCATAATATTGAAGCTCAAGAAAGAATTGTTTCTGCTGAGCTCTTGATTGTGATTCCAGACCCAGAAAAAAATCCAACTGCTGAAGATCTCGAGTCACTCCATCCACTACCAGACCTCCTGCAGGCCTTATTATTGCTGGAACAAGATTCAAGCCCAACAGGTATGATCAATCTCTAAAAACTTAATATCAGTATTGAACATAATTAATTGATACTAGATACTCTAACCCAATTGGTCCAGGAAAGATAACCTGTACACAGGGGTAGTTATTTAGATTTGGAAACTGAATCGGAGTTGGAGTCCTCATATATGTCAGAGGATTCTATTACTAAAAATGCAGATTTTGTTCAGCTGAATGAAATTGAGTTATGTGGTGGAGAATGAAAAGTTGATCATTAATAACCTATATTATGTACATGGAGCTAAAATAACCAATAAACTAACAAAAAAAAATTTGCCAAGTTCGTTGTATCCCACTTGCTTTTGTATCCCACTTGGTTTTCCCGACTATGAGCAAAGCGAAATAGGAGGAGAACTGACTATTACTCTTACCCTAATTATGTAAAGCATTTCATTTTAAAAGGCTACTAGTGTATGTTATAGATAATTTATATTATAAGTCCTTTTATCTTTACACTCCTAACAACCTCAAGAAAAAGTAAATGTCAAAAGTATAAATTCTATCGATGATACTAGCAAATGATCCACTGGCACTAATAGAAACCTAGCCAGTATTGACATTAAAGCTATGTAGCAAATTTCATATTGATTAAGTATAATCTTACCTGATATGGTTGTTTACAGTAGGGTAAGAGTGTATTTCCAAAAAAAAAACATTGGTATTACTAAACAGCTATTTTTTCAGAACATACTATCTTTCTATTTCAGAATATATTTTATTTTCACCTTTTATTGTAACTTTTTTCAATTGGTACATGCCGTACAGGGCTTAAGAGATAATTATGAATCATATAAGACGTAGTAACAGTAAACAAGAGATGTGTAAAAATAAAGAAATATTTCTATCAAATAAGTAATTAAAATGTAAAAGCTCCAATTCTTATAAAATGTTTATGAGATATACATAATACATTATCTATAGTAATGTCCGTAATCTACTACAGGTAATCCAGAAATGACACATAGTTGAGAAATATACGATATTATTAATGAAAAATGTACATATGAAACGAATCAGAACAAAATTTCAACAATGAAGTACTCTGACGACGGTTTCATCCCAGCGAGAGATGTCTGTGTCCTGCTGATGTTCGTCGATACACGCGGTCATTCCGCGAGCAGTAGTATCAGGTTCTTTAGCAGCCGCTTGAGCTCGCGGTTCTCCGGGTGACTTCTCCTGATACCAACCCTCCTGGGAACTAATAAAGCACTCAAACAACCATTAGCCCCCCACTCATCGATGGCACAGGCAAAATAAAACTAGAGGAAAAAAAAAGGAATAAAGAGATCAAGAACTCTCACCTCAACCCTCCCTCTCTTTCCATCTCTACTCTGATGCCGGCAACCCCTCATCCCACGACCGTCCTTCCTTGTCAGCCTTGGGCAAAAACCTCCCCCCCATTCTCTTCATAACCTCTGCAACCTCGCCCCAGCGCCCCCTCCCCCCCTCTCGGCAAAATGCCTTGGAGAAGCCAAACTTCTTCAACCCACCCCGTTTCCTCGCCAAGAACCCGATCGTGCCCTCGGCTGTCACCTTCGGGCACACCGGCCAAAGACTCGTCTGCCAAAACCTGCGATTGGTGAGTAAGGGTGGGTACTCAATCCACGGAACAACTCGTCCCGGGGTCGGATTGGGTGTGGCGGTGGGTTCCAGTGTTACGAGTTTATCCCAAGCCCGGAGGATTAGGGTTTGTAAGTTCTCGCTTGGGGCGAAGGATTTCTGCAGAAGGGCGTCCCCGAGGTCTTTCGTTGAGAGGCATATGTCAATGTAGGTTATCGACCGCCGCATGCAGCGAATTACGCTTGGTAGCCTGTCGCTAAGAAGGAATACCGACACATCCCCGGCCAATATCAAGGTTTTCAACTTGGTGAGTGATTCAAGCGGCGAGTGATGCAGGATTGTGTCTCGAGAGTAATACACCGACCCGGGACAGGGATTCGCAAAGTCCATGTCCTGAAGCTTCAAGTACGTCAATGATGAGCCCAGCGATGCCAATGGTGCCAAGAACAAATTTGTCATAGAGGAATCCGTTTGTTTAACGTCATAACTGAGCGATAGCGAATCTATCCTTGCGGACTTTTCCCTTTTCGACTGCTGCCCACCGCGGGATAGGCTGTGTTCTAGCTGGCTATTCACGCCCTTGATCTGGATAATCGCTGCCGCAAGGTCGAACATTCCCGCGAACTTGGTGAATTCAAGATCACGCATGTTGTGCAGAAACCCGGGAGCAAAGGACCACCCAGTAAAGCTCTGGGAAGTGGAGGCATTATCCACAAAGAGGTTTATCAGTTTCAGGCTCTGGGGCGAGAACCCCGCGTATCCCATTTCGGTGAACATTCGCCAAAGTTTGAAGCTATCGCAGCGCATCCGGGCTAGTTTTAGAGCTTTGATACTGCGGCTTTGGCGAAGGGCTAATGGACCATTGCCCAAGTCTTTGCCCGAGAACCGAGAGTAGCGGATGTCAAAGTCTAGGTCTAGGGATGTGACGGAGTTGGGATTCAAGGCTTCAAAGAAGCTGTCTAGCGTAGACACGGTTTTGTTATATGCCGAGCGGTTGGTTTCCCAGTCCTCATCGTGGTTGTAGTACGGATCGTAGTGCGTTTTAAATCGCCAGTCCAGGATTGTCAGCGAGAAGCTATCGGATTTGTTAGAGTGCCGGCGGCGCTGGGAAAGGCTCGCGGTGCTGGGGTATATTAATGTGGGCCGTATTGAAGCTATAGCCCTACCCAACTCCGCACAGACCATCCACCCGGAGGAGATAACCAGGCGGGAGACATTCTGCAGGGAATATATCATAGATATAGGGTGTGACATTCGAACGGGCTCGTGGACTCTCAATTGGCCCAGCTCGGGGATAGTGAAGCCTTTGAGATGCTGAATATGCGGATACAAGACTGCCCCAAATATCAGTACTACCCTACCAACCAAAATAGAAAATATCAAGAACACCCACAATCCATAATCATCAACGCTGTATCCCCCACAAAAACCTTCACCTCTCTTCCATAGACAGGGCTGGCCCAGCCATACTCCGCTCCTCCAACAACCATCTTGTCACCCCTCTTGTCCCTCCTGGAAGCGCCACTGACCTCCAACCCACCAAGCAGCCCATCAAAAAAGTACTGCGCAGCCTTCTTGCCCAGCGTAGGACTCTTGTTTCCGGACGTCCTTTGCGACTTCATAATCTCCGTTAGCACCATCACCAGCGTGCGCGTATCCAGGTTCGCGACGTAATTGATGTAAGGAAATAACGTGGCATTTCTGGCCTCAGTACTCTTCCCAGAGACAGTGAAGCAGGAGAGCAACAGGGTTCTCCATAATTGCATCATTCGCCGGTCGGCGCGTGTGTTGTAAAAGTCTATACATCGGGAAGTGGGGAAGTAATTCGAGCTGGGGTTGTGGGCTGGCCGGGGTTGTTAGCTACGTTAATAATTTATTACAACAATAGCTAGTGGTTAGCTAGGCAGAGAAGAAGTAAACTAACCACTTGCAGTAATTGGCATTAGCACTCCAAACCCGTGAGTTCTGTAGAGCATTGGTATAGCTGTGAAAGCCCAGGCTCTACAAGTAAGCGCACAACTCCGCAGATCCTTCACGCTCCCAAACCCATCATCCGCGGCGTCAGGCGCAACGAATCCAAATATCACCTCCAGCAGCTCCACTGGCAACCTCACTGCTGCTACCGCCTTCTCCTCCTCCTCCTCCTCCTCCTCCTCCTCCCCATAACCACCATCATCCTCAACAAAGCTAGAACCACAACTCGAGGACGAGGACTCGTAATAGAACGTAGCACCGTTGTCATACATCATCTCCTCCAGCAAATCCCCATCCAGTTCTGGAGTGCCCTCGTAGTAGAATGAAAACATTGATTCCGCTAGAGAAGACATGGAGATCTCGTTTTGCGAGTTAAGCGGCGCTCTATTGAAGCAGGGTTGTGGCCGAGGGAGAAACGTCCTTGGGGCGGCGGAGGGCATGTAGCCAGTACATGGGATGGGGTTCTTAAGAAGGAAGAGGAAAAAAAGAAAAGAAAAAAGAGAAAAAGAAACGAAAACAGGAAAAAGAGTACTTATTCGGAGATTAATTTTAGCAGGCCAAGGCGGGGGTTACGGTAATAATAAATAGATAGATAATTAATTAAAAGGAGAGCGTGAAGGAAAGGAGAGAAGGAAAAAAAGAAAAGAAAATAGGAAAAAATGGCAAGAGGCGTTGTCTCTGAGGCTGGGGAGGCGCTTGGAAGGAAGGAATAGGACGGGGGGGGGAGGAGCTGTTGTGTTTCTTATAATTTCTCTGTCTTCCGTTCTTAATCAGGAGGTTGCACGATTATCTATACTTTTATATGCAACGGGATCTTCCTTCCCTCTCTTCTTCGATTTTATCTGGGACCGCTGGGAAGAAAAGGGTGTCGACCTGTGGGAGACTTTGGTTTCCTTCAGATTACGGTATCATAGATGGATGGATGGATGGATGAAGGTGGTGATGATGATGGTGGTTGTGGAGACAGCCTGAGGGAGGCAGAGGCAGAGGAATATCAGACGAGTTACAACACACCATGCCCATCCTCACGGTCCCTCTTTATACATACATATCATACGGCATCATACCTGCACAAACGGACAATCGTCGTTTTGTGGGCATCGGATACCGCATGGTTGTCGGTGGCCCTGGCCTTGCCTGCTCGCCTGTCCGTCCACCTGCCGGTAATGATTGATATTCGAAGTTTGGCGTCCCCTCTTCCCCCCCCTCCCCTCCCCTCCCCTTCTCCTTCTGCGCAGGATCAAGAAGGCGCGAGCAAGGGAAAAAGAGATAGAAAGAGGGGGGGATACAGGTAGGGTGATAAAACCATACCATACCATGGTTAATGCGCACATCACGAACCCAATCATATGACATCAACCCAGTTCATTCCACTTCACTCTCTCTCCCTCGGTTAGCCCGATTCAAAATCCCGAGCTTTTCCCTCACTCGACAGAACGGAACACACGTTGACCTGTGCCAGTGGAGCAGCTACCCGAGTCTGATACGTGAAACGAGCCCACCGCCGTGCTGTTTCTCCCTCCAAAAGCAAAAGAAAAAGAAAAAAAGAAAAAAAACCAATCTATGCAGCTGAAAAATGAGGGTTTCCCTTTTACATCTCACTCTTCTCTTTTGTGGCTACTTTCTTTCTCACATGTGAAGTATTGTAATAATACCCCGGGCTCGTTCTAGGGATCGCTTGTGAGTACCATCGGTACCCATACTAGAGGTTACGATCATGATCATGAAGATATATTGTAGATGGCTTTGCATATCATACCGCAGAAACTGGACGATGACGATGATGATCGGGTGAGATATGGGTTTCGACATGAGGACAGAAAGGAATGGAGCGGCAGGGGGCACTCGAGTGGATATGCATTACCGGTAGACTAACTGCTCTACCATCTGGGACACCACCATGATAACGCCTTTATTACCGTATCATACTTATTCTATTTTACCTGTACGGTGGCGTGCCGTACCAAGTTAACTTGCCGCAGTACCGGTACAAGTTATTGTTGGTTCAGGCTCTACAAGTGATGGGATCAGGGGCTCATTCAGGAGGGAGGGAAATATGATAGCTTTTACCGGTACTCGTACAATAGTACAAGTACCGGCACCATAAATGTAAATTACTATCCCGCCCTGAATGCAGGGTATAGCACCGTTTCGTTACCTTTGCTAAAAAAACCCTCTCTCCCTTGCTCACCTTTTTCCACTTGGTAACACATACTCGAGTACAGAAAACGCGGTGTCCTTTCCACAATATGTGTGTCCACTCTCCCCGAAATTCCCCTCCTATGGTCCTCAACCAATACCGGTACCCATTTTATGGAAAAACAGAGCCCTCCAAAAAATTAAAGAGGAGACAATTTGAAGCAGTTCGAAAGAGGGTGTTTTTTTTCCCCAGAGGCTTGGTTGTTGTGGGAAACTCTTGTCACAATATGGCCCTAATATTTATCCTGTTATCGTACATGAAATGCCCAAGTTAGATCCTTCTTCCCCTTGTGGTATTTCTAACCATGCTAGGCCGGACGCCCTCCTCTTTGGATAGCCCTGGCCTGGTTTCAACGGGTCTGGCCCATTGGAATCACTGCACGGGCCCAAAATATCACTTGTTGGTTT